GGGGGGGGGTTGCCAATATGAATACTAATGAATGGGGGGTGGAGAGCTCAGCTGTAATCTACACAGAGCACAGAGGCGGCCATTGCCATGAGGAGATGAAGAGGAACGCTAACACATGTAGGATACCACATAAGAAAGATGTACTAAACTTCACTTCGTCCTCAAATTGGGTGGGCAGTAACATGAAACAAAACCATAGATGATGGATACTATCACTTCAGTGACGGCAGTATCATTTCTGCACATTCAACAGTATAAAAAAATAATAATAATTTGAGGACTGAACTTTTAAACAGTAAAATGAAGCACAATGTACCTTTTAAAGTCATCATGGTAGAATTCAGATTTACAGGCCACCATTTCACTATTTTGCTCATTTTCCCGACTTCTGACTCCACCAAAGACATAAAGTTCCATACCGACCCCACATGCTACCGCCCCAAACCTGCGAAAAAAAGACAATTTAGAGAAAAGCCAGATTCCAGGAGAGTTTCTCCAGAATATTACAAGAGGCCTCTCACCTTCTTTCCTTCAGGGGACATATCGCTGTCCACTGCTGTATTTTGGGATCATAACACTCAACAGACTCAAAAAGCTTTCCAAATGATCCTCCTCCCATTGCAAAGATTTTCTTCTTCATTGCGGCATAGCAGCCGATCTGTTTTTAACCAACAAATACCAAGTCAACACATGTGGAATCTACAAAGCAGATATACAGAGTAGGCACTTTTAAAGTGTAGGTGCATAACACTGTTTTGGGGATTTAAAGAGCCCTGAGAAGTGCACATGAAGATATACAAATACTTCCAGACATTTTAGTCAGCCATTGGCTTGAGGGCCCTTTGCTACCATAAAATGGCTCCATTAAATCAATAAGGAGAGGCCAATGATAAGCTGGTCATCTTTTCAATAAGTGAGCAGGTTTAAGGCCCAACTTCTCATTCAGCTGATGTATGCTAGGGATGGGTGAGGAAGAAGGAAGTGTGCAGTAGCTCAGAAGAGTGTGATGTCTAGGCTTGCCTTGCTTTAATAACCACGGGTCATAGCAGAATCCTGCACAGCTGTGACATTCAGAGTAGAAGCAGGAGTGGCCATACCAGATACACATTAAAAGCCCAGCACATCATAATGGCAGCTGAAGTGTACACACACCTCTTAAAGTGACACTAAACACAGGATTTAAAGGCTAAGTTCACCTTCTGCAAAAATTAAGGAAATTATATATA